ACCTACACATTCACAACAACGTGTTGCAGGTAACCTAGCAGGTCATAGTATCCATGGCATTTTTTGTTTATTATCATATGTCAGCTTGTTTGTTGTTCACTTTTTCCAGGTATTTCCTTCCTATTCCTTTTCACGGCTTCTCTTCACGGTTTTAGGACTCTATCTATGCTGCTCTGTCATGTCAATATCATGTTCAACCTAAAGGAAAGAGGCTCCACAATATTAATTGAGGGCATTTTACAACAGAAATAGTTCTGTAGATTAATGAACTAAGCAACAAATAAGGTTCTAAATGCCATCACAAACCCCTGATCCTCTTGACACATACACACATGGACCATAATAAAGTCAGGTGCAAACAAATATGCAGGTACAAACACACAATAAGTAACAAAAGGCATGTTTCCATCCACACTTTGCAGGGGGAGAGCATAGGATTTAAAGATAAACGGATAGTGGAGGGCCAAGTTGATGACTGATTTACCGGTCCGGCTTAGACACATATGTGTAAGATTGCCCCAGTTTATATGTTGTATATTATCATGTATTCTGGGAAAGGGGAGAGAATAAGACACTGGTGAAACATATTAGGGCATGGCAGGAAACACAGAAGGGGGCAGGAAGTGGAGGATCTGAAGTTAACATGAGCTATATGAAACAAAGATAACAAAAAAGGGAACTTAACTAGGCCTGAGAAGTGTCGATATCACAATCACAATCACAATCCGCTTTATTGGCCAGGTATGCTTACACACACAAGGATTTTAACTTTGTGAACTGTGCTCTCTATGTACATAAGTATAACATTAATTATCAACAATAAACACAAATAAGCAAAGACTAATATGTAGACTAAATAAGATAATAGTGCAGTGGTGAGTAGTGCAAAAGATGCTGAAGTAACATGTAAAAATGTAATTATGTGACAGATGGGTTCATTTAAATGAGATAGAGTTTTACAGTATTAACATTAAAGGTGTGCATAGATTGATCATTTAAATTAAACAATATATATGTATATGTAAATTCACAGAATTATTTCACAGCGACAGGTCTGACACTGTGTGACTGTTCAGCGTTCATCAGAGTGACAGCCTGGGGGAAGAAACTGTTCTTATGTCGGATTGTTTTGGCGTACAGTAATCTGTAACGCCTGCCGGAGGGGAGGAGTTTGCACTTGCAGGGATTAATGTTGTGATGTTTTTGCCAATAGAAATTAACAGGTGCTGCAGGTGTTCTATACAAAACTTTGAAGAAGTGAAAGTCTGAAAAGTAAATGACGTTAGAGGGTGTCTGGGGGGGACTCTCCCCCAGAGGAAAAATCGAGCTATTCTAACATTCAAATGAGGCTTTTTGGAGCATTATGAGATTAGATCATGATAAACGAGGACCATGTTTTGATACTAAACAAGAAGCCTACTCTGTTCTTAACCTTAAGCAGCCTAAAGTAGTAACAACACAGACATACCCTCACACAAGTTACAGAAGTTAGAGTACAAACGCATCAGACTTTAGTCTGGAGTAACAAATGAAAAATAGTGACTTTGCAAAAATGTACCTTTTACAGAATATTATTTATATATTTTTTTAATGTATTAATGTGTTCCTCATTTTTTTTGTCATTGCTAATCCTATTTACATACCTGTAGCTGGATACCCTGTGAATTCCCAGGGCATATAATAAAGATATTTTGACAAATAGTGTATTTTCTATAAATTCAGTGGAGTAGAAGTATATTTTTATGAAGTGCAAGAAGGCTTCATTTTTGATTTGATTTTTACATTGGACAGAACTTATGCAGTATTGTATTGAATAACTTTCACCCCCTCAGTCGTTAAAAGTAAACTAGTGCTGGCTGGTTAAGCTAATATAACATGTAAGAATTGTGTCATCAAACGGTGCAGTGTAAAGGTGACTCATGTCGCGCGGTGCTCTGTGTCGGTAATGTGTTGTGTCACCTGTTGTCGTGGCGCGTTCCTTAAGGAGTGTATCCGGTAGCGGAGCACTCAGCGACTGTCTGCTCTGCCTGCACGTAATAAAACTTTAACGGTAAACTCCGTCATGTTACGGATTGTTATTTCCCTTGTAATGTTTTATTTGGTCTGGTAAATAAAGTTGCGCACCGGAGCCTAACAAAAAAAAGAAGTCCGGACATGACGGGCAGTGCACGCCGATGCTCGCTACCACAATAAAAGCCTCCTCTACACCGAGCCGACTCCACGTAGCAGATACAAGTTCTGACTGTAACACTACATTGAAATGCCACACAGACGCAAAACTACACTTGTGTTACAGGAGTCAGATAAATGCCTGACATTAAAAACAACATTTTGCACGTTTGTCATTAACCCACAGTCTGCTCGACTTTTTTTTTTTTTGGTCTGACACTGACTAAACATATTACAATTGAGGGAAATCCCTCGTAGCGACTGATTTGTTTTCACTTGTTTTCCCTGTTCTAAATCATTCCGTGAATGACAGCTGACATGCTGAAGGTGTTTGAGCGAGTAGTGTCATTTCACTGCAACTCACTGAATATTTATGACATGTGCATACACACACTGCTCAGAGAGAGACAGTTCTGTGTAATCACCTGTACAAACTGCTTTAACCACGATTAACATTTAGTAGAAACATATCATTTTCAACATCTTAAAGATTCCTATAAATCATTTTCTAGTCGAGAAAAAAAACGTGCAGTTACTCTTGATGATTCTGCCTTGCTGTTATCTATGCGGCCTAGTCGTGTGACTTTTGTAACCATGGTTACAAAAACGTCTTGTTTCCTAGGGAATGGAGGGATGTTTTCCAGTCACTGTATATTAGCCCTCAAACCAGACAAAGGGTGTGAGCAGAAAGTATGGCATTAAACTTTGAGTCATTCTGTGGAGAAGTGAGAGGGGGAGGGTTTGAGAAAAACATCTCTACTGAAGTTGTGCAGCTGGACTCAACCCCCCGTTTCCTGAGAACTATCAAGGCTGTTTGTTTATGCTAGTTCTTTACCACAGGACTGCTACAGGTTGCAATGGTGCAGGAGAGCATTGCTAACCAGCAGGTACAGTCTTCTCTCTTAAATGTGATGTAAAAGAAACCAAATCCAGAAACCAAAATACACTTACAATTTTATTAGTTGTGTGATAATGCAGCTGAACATTTTTCTTGACACCTTTTGTATTCTTCTCAACATGACATGTACAATGAAGGCTCAGCAGCAGCAGCAGCATTGGCAGTCCAAACAGTTTTTTTTTTTGTACAATCTCCCTCCTTGATTCTTGCAATTAACTGGTTTCTCTGATTTTATCAAGCGATTCAAACCCTTGTCGTGAGTAACGTAAGGCCATGAGGCTCCACCTTACTGATGGAGGAATAGAGAGTGAGGCAGATCAAAGTACTGTGCAAAGAATAAGGTGCTGACTGCCATCTCCACCATCTAATCTTTATGAAAACATACACACAAAAGGTTCGAACGCACACAAAAAGATAACAAAAGCCACTTTTGCAATCTGCGTGCAGTCCGCATCATGCTCGCTCTTCAGGGGGAGATTATAGGATATATCACTTCCTACATACCGGTAATTCAAAGTCTCAGGCAGAAGTTAGCAAGGAGAAGAAAAATATTAACTAACTAAACTATTGAAAATCTTTGTGCTTTTATAGTAAACTGGGTGACTTGGATACTCTTACAATGTTTCAAGAAGGTGGTTTGAAATTGAGGCCTTAAATTCATGTGAATAAAAATAAATAGAGATGTACGGTTTCTAAACGTAGGACTCTGTCAGCTTTGTATAACAGCTGATTCTCACCACATCAGTTAAATAAACGTCCTCAGTCACATTCACTGAAACAATACCTAGAACTAGACCTGCATCACCCACATCCGTGTGATGGCACCCTTCAGCACTCTGTGTGATCTAGGACATCAAATTTAGGATTAACTCATTGCTTTGATTTATGCCATAAAACTGTTATGAGCAATATCGCCAGCCCACTGAAAAAGTGTCTGTAATTACAGATAAGGGCAACGGTAAGGAGAAAGGTAAAGCAAAGCACATACTGTACGTCATTTTGACATAATTACTGAGTAATGGTCGACTGTTGTGACGAGTCTGATAAAAAGTGCAAATATCTCTGATTTGTATTACTGTTTCGACAGCTGGTCTAATTGTACTGTTCATCGATTAGCCTAAGATCTCACTGTGAACAAGTCAGCAGCTTGACAGCAACAGTCTAACAGCTATCCATCAGATTAGCGATCGTATTGTCTTTTGACACGTCTGTCTTGTTGGTAAACACCGTATCCACAGAGCCCTTATGCTGACTGACAGAACAAACACACAACATATTTCACAAAGCCACAGGACAATCCATTAATCCAACTATCAATCTTATTCATCTCCGAAAAGATCTGTACAAGTTGAGGCCTGGGTGCTGTGAACAAGCAACGATTGTAGTCCATCTCTGGCGGTCTTCATGTTGCATATCTGCATTGTGTAGCAGTTTTTTCAGCAGATATGACTGTGCAACAGGCATCTGTGTATAGCCCATCAAAGCATCTGGCAGACCTTCTGAAGGGGATTCCACCGGGAAGTTGCTTGATGATACAGAAATCAGGATTTAGCAGTCTATGTAGCCTTAGTAGACTGTTGTGGCAAGAAGTCCTTTCTTCTGTATTCTGTCCCTTGTTTCAATGATGGGGAGTAAAAAGTGTGCGACGGGGCACGCTTGTGTGTCTATATGCGTCTACAAAAGCAGACCTTAGAAAGGTTTCTTAACAATATCAGTGAACCATCATCCATTCCTCTTAGCTTCCCTTCCCAATGTCATATTCAGTCTTTTCCAGCTTCTTCCTGCTCCTCCTCACCTCTAACACTGCTCATCTTTACACACACACACACACACACACACACACACACACACACACACACACACACACACACACACACACACACACACACACACACACACACACACACACACACACACACACACACACACACACACACACACACACACACACACACACACACACACACACACACACACACACACACACACACACACACACACACTTTAAATCACCACCTTACTAATCCAGGATGCAGGTTAGCAAGATAGCATTTGTGTGTACGTCCATATTGTGCATGATGTACGTGTGTCTGTTCCACAGGCGTCTGTGGGGTGATGTGAGTGTGTATTTATGTTTGTCAGTTGGTCTCGTAAGAGGAGAGCAGCGCTGCGTCCACAGGCTCCATGCAGGAGGGGCAGGTGAAGGATCTCATCAGCCAGTCGTCTATACAGTCCATGTGGTAGATGTGCATGCAAGGCAGGAACCGGATGGGGTCTCCATACACAAAGTCCATCATACAGATGACACACCTGTAAAGGTAAAAACAGACATTCACTTTCATCCCATCAATTCAACAACACTGCATTAAAAAAATAATAATAACCGAAGCATTCAATTTAGTACCATGTATTAATCAAGCAAGTACAAAAAAAGTACTGTTATTTTTGTAGTCTCACTTATTTGACACTTCATTTTATTACTTTTTTTTTTTTTGTCGGTGCATGGTTATTTTTAAAATGTGATAAAGAGACGATGAACATTTCAGAGGAATAAAAACAATGTGTCAGTTTTTTTGGGGCATTTATTTCTTTATTGGATAGTAGAGCTGATGAGAGACAGGAAATGTTGGGATGAGAGAGAGAGTGGGGGATGACATGCTGCAAAGGACCGAGGGCGGATTTCAACCCACAGCCGCTGTGACGAGGACCAAAGCCTCTGTACATGGAGCGCGCAACATAACCGCTAGGCTATCAGTGCTCCACAATGGCTCAGTTTAAATCTGAAACTGTAGTTAAATTATAGCTTAAGCACAACTACCAGCCCCCAGCTTCATATCCCCTATCTTCTTTTTTCTCTATTCCCCATTCATGAATATATTTATAATTGTTCCCCTTATTTAACACAACATATGCGCTCAACCCTTAATCATGACCTATTGTTTTTTTTATTCATTTCAGTCTTTTATATAAAGGTACCTCATGTTGATCACTCACTCACTTAAAGCTATATAATTGTTATTATTATTTGTATTCTCTTCTTTTATCTTTTCCCTTTTTGCTGTTGCTTTGATCGTTGGTCATTATCTCCCTCCTTTACCCTCTAACAGTTTATCACTCTTTTAAAGCACTCCCAATTAAATCTAAAATATCAGAACAAAAATAAGCAAATAATCAATAATAATCCACTAATTACATTGTAATACAAATATTTTTATATGATTAAAGTTATATAGTTATAGATCTGTTTTGTGCTTGCATCCTCTGAATACTTAAACTAAGTGAAGCACACAATAGAAAAAAAAAAAAAAAACATTAAAATAAACTATTCAAAGCATTTTTCAAAGACATACAAACTCTGTGCTAAAACACAGATGAGCTCAGAACACTACCCTGCTCCTCTAAAAACAAAACTAAATCTTACACCGCTGAGTACGACTACCCAGGGATTCTACTCACTCTCTGATCTTCTTCTCAGAGCCGTCTCGCCCTGGGTCGTACACCCCCTTAGGGAGGTGCTGGATGAGTCCGATCCTCTGGGCGATGCGAATCTGCTCTTCCTCCGTCAGCTGGGTGGCCAGCCGGGCTTGGCTGGGTGTAGGATGGTAGACAGGTACATGAATCTGTTCCTGCACAAAGAGAGAGAGAGAGAGGACCACAAATGAATACATTTTCGCCTTTTGAAACTGTGGCTAGCATGTGGAATCATGAAATTGGTATCTAGGTTAAAGCAGATGCAAGATGGTTTTCTCAGAAATAGAATAGATACCATGAATGCTTACCACAACAAGCAATGTCGTATTGGTAAACATCATAAGAGTCCACAAACAGTTAGTTAGTCAAGTAACACCTCTGTGCTAACTATAATGTATCTGCCTGGTCTGTTGCAGGAAATATTCTGAGAGGAAAACAAGAAAGCACTCTTGTTTCCTGCCTGAAAATTCACCACCCCAATTTTACTCACAGAAGTCATTTTCAAAAGCAGAAGACATTGTTCTTTTTTTTTTTTAATTCACTTTCGGTTGAAGTCCAGCAGGGTCTAACAGATGAACATCAAGCTTATGAAACATTTTTGATTATGGCACAACACTTAAGACAAGATTGTAGAATAGAATAGAATAGAATAGAATTACTTTATTGATCCCAAACTGGGAAATTGTGGCGTTACAGCAGCAGGTTATCCAACACACAATATGAGTAAAAAAGCACAATGTTAGCAAATCTAAGCACAATATAATATTAAATACAAAGTAAATCAGTACTAAAAATATCAAAACTAAGAATGTGAAAATATGCAACCAGGATTTAACTATGCATTACTAGTCTTAAATAGGAAGATTAAATATGGAATTGTATTGATGCAGAGAGATGTGAGAATACCATCCTTTGTAACACTGAAATCACTTTGCTTTGTTCAGCACACAATGAAAGCATTCAGATGACTAAGAGTTTCACAGTCATTCACACACGCTTTGTTTATAAATGTTATTACCTCTATCAGGATATAAAAACATACCCTTATTGCCAATAACTGATGGAATCAATGACTCACATTCTGGTTCTGGGTAAATTATGACATGATTGCAGAGAGAATGCAGACAGTAGGTGGTAGTGTTTCCTAGCACCTCGTTCTAACAGTTGTTGCAGCACACAGCAACTACACAGACACTTCTACGTGACATGCAGGTTACCTAAACAGTAAAAACAAGGAATGGTTGATGGTTGTGAGGGATGAAGGGTTTCTTTTCTTTATTGGATAGGACAGCTGAAGAGAAACAGGAGAGAGAAAAAAGAGAGAGTAGGGGATGACTAGCAACAAAGGGCCAAGATTATTTTTATGCACCACTACCACTTTATCATTTAGTACTTCTTGCACATTGCTCTGTATATATATATATTTATTTCCCAAATAAATAAAAAAGTTGTTTACTTACACAGTAGTAAACAATTCTGAAAGGTACAAATATTCTGAAAGGTCTTGGGGTGGCAGTAGCTGTGTGCTGTGTGTGAATGTGTTGGTTGTGGTGCACTGTGCAGTAGTCAGCAGTGTCATTTGTTGTCATTTCTCTCAACTTACATGCATTGCATGTCAGCTGGGCTGTGACAACTGCTAATTACATGACCTTGGGTTGACCTCAATGACAAGCAGGTGAGGTTGAAATGGGAACTGAAGTCAAAATTCAGGCTGCTGTTTCCCCTCTGGTAATCATGGGGCAGGCTGCTTTGTGAGATAGTCAGCAGCTGCTACTGTGAACCTGCCAAGCCCAGGAAGGGGAGGGTTACAGACAACAAAGAACAAGAGCAGATGTACAGAGTTAAAGTGACGGAAATTATGCGTAAGAGTGGGGAGCGAACTCTTCAATCACCTATAACTAATTCAACAAAAGTAAAAGTACATACAATTACAAATAGTTTGGATAACAAAACCTACAACACATATTTACAAACATTGTGTGACAACGTCAGAAATGTACTCTGCTATTTAGCTGACAGGAGTGTCAGTATGATGAAGCACTTCTACAGTGTTTACATGTCCCTTATATTATTCTCAAAACACCCATTACAGCATACATTGGGCTAACAGTTTTGAACACTGCGGCAATACAGCTATGTTAAGTCTTCATAAGTCTCATAAAGCAAAACCTGCTTATGCTGACCTCAATTCTCCAAACATCGTACTTTGTTCTTGAAGAACAAGGAAATCAGTATCAACTACTTTTCATAGTTGAGGTTACCGTTTGATTCTAAGAAGACCAAATTTGTTAGATCTTCCCTTAAATCTTAATGTGAAAGAGTAACCTGTAGCATGTGTTTGTATTTTGGGAATCTTACTTCCTTATTCCCACCACAGCTGTGATGTAATGTTTGGAACATTTTTTTCCTGAGCTGGCAGACTATAAGAGAATGATAACTAGTTCAAACCACAGCTTCTGGCTGTGTCGCTGTGATGCCCACATACCAGAGCTATTGTGTATAGAGGGGAAAGAGGCTGCAGACAGGCCACATGATGACATGGCAAAAATCCTGCTTTGAACACCTAGTCTGAGAGCAGCTTAGTGGTACTATTCTACAACTAGATTTTCTTTTTTTTTTCTTTTGAAACCTCAGTGTTCACAGGAAATGTGCAAGTGTCATAGCTATATTTTCTGGGGAAAAGCTGCACCTAAAAGAGAGTCAGACCAGAAACATAAAGCGATCACAGTCTCAGAAAATGTAGCCCTCAGCAGTCAGCTGCACACAACACCAACAAGCATGTATTTAACAGACAACAATGGGAGGAGAAGGATGGACATGAGCATCACAGGATGTGCTTGTTGGTGTGATAACAGTCAAGACAGTCAACAGTAGAACCGTTAACACTAATGTTTGTGTCACATTACTTCCTCAGCTTGTTAAGCAAGAAGTTAGGGCGTTGATACAGTCTAAGAGTATTAACCCGAGTAATCACACCTAACACATTATGAAGCTTATAGAGCCTTAAAGGCAGCCACAAAAACACTGCAGATGAATCTAACAGAACAAAGTTTAGTAATGAAAAATGGGACGATCCATTATTACTCATTTATATAAATTGTAACAATTGCCATAAGGTTAAGATGACACAGCAGCATTAGCAAATGAAGCAAGTATTGCACAGTCTGCCATATTAAAGTTAGTTATGACACTCAGTAGTGACAACACTCTTCGACCCCTCTTTTGTGTGACGTGGCCGCCAACTGTTTCAGTATGAAGAGATGGGGGAGATGAAAAGAATCATTGAGTCTTGATACTAGTTTTTTTTTAGAAAGAGCAACCTCTATGTTGAAGTGTGTCAGCCAAAGACCAAAGAACTACCGGTAAACAATGGCTTGTTTGTCAGCACCACGTCCTCCAACCCCAGGAGATTTCTGTTACCATATTAGGACAAAAAAATTGTTAATCTGGCTCCCTGAGAGGGCGTATCACTGCTTTCAAAACTAAAAGCAAGCCTCTTATCGATTGACCAACTTTGTCATACATGCTGTACTGTGATGCTGTGAACTTATCTACCAACACATTGCTGTCAACACACAACACGAAAGCCCCATCATTTATTTTTTTTTAATCTATTTTTTTTGTTGGGGGGGAGGGGGGGCTTACATTATATAGAAGTACAAAAGAAAATAAAAAGTGGTAGTTTTAAAATGTTGAAGAGTAGTTGCAGTCATCTTTTTGGAGCGGGAAGTCATCATATTTGGATGAGAAAGCTAAGGTTTTTAAAAATAAAAAGTTGGCAGGGTATGGCCTAGGCTAATTTGTTATCTTGCATTTGAGAGTTCGACATTGTTTCCAGCAGACCCTCATTTTATTTGGGGTACAGGCAAGCCAGAGATGTTCCTCTGTTTGCCTGAAAAAGATAGAAAAGCTTGTGGAAATGACAGGCTTGCAGCTCGTTCACATACCTCTGGTTGGAACGTAAAGAAACTGAGGGAAATACTGCTACATGCTCTTGTGAATGCAATATCATTGTTACCAATTGATATTTAATAAATAAATGATACATTCATACAGATTCAACATCTGGAATTTTGAATTAAAGCTCAGCATTTGCATTGAAGTGAATTTGGAGCCTCCTTTACATGCCCTCTCGTGTCTCTTCCAGGTGTGACAGCTAAATATAAAACAACTTGCAGGCAAATGGTTTCTTTGGAGCTCAGCTGAACCAAACTGCTGACTGCAATGCAAGCCCTCTCATCTTGACAGCAATGCAGTTGTAGGAAAGACTCAAACAGACTTTCCTCTGTTGTGTTTTCGTGTGTGTGTGTTTGTGGGTCCACTAGAGTCAATAGTGGGCACATTCTGCTCTACTAAAGCATCTGAAAGGAGATTTATCCTTGTTTTTGACATGTGCAGCATGACATATTTTAGATCCTGTTTAACCCTCTAGGCCTCATGTTCACACAAGAGAAAGAAACCGGGGAAAAGTATTTAAAGTGTATCAAGACAGAGTTCAGCTTCATGCAAACACTGTCAGACACAGTGAATCTTCTAAAGCCTGCAGGCTGTTCCAGCCAGTTAAGTTTGGCTGCAAAGCTAGCTGACAGCAGCATAAAGGCCTTGGTGCAAAAACTGAATGTGATTAATAAAAACTCCTGCCACTGCTCCGATCTGTGAGGCTTACGAGGAGAGACAGGCAAAACTATTCACTCCTTTAAAGTAGATGGTCTGCGATGACATATGTTTGGCTCCACCCACACATAAATACAGCTGTCATCACAGTCATCCCTCAGTTCGATAGCTGCTCTTCACTGAGCCTACCTTGTTCTTCTCCATGACTTTGCCAGCCACCGAGGGGCCATCGGAATCAGGGACAGAGGCTGATGGCGTACCCTTTCCAAAACAGGTGATATCATCTCCACTGAGAAAAGGCATACAGAAGTGTGCTGGGCCATGGGTGCACTAGTTCATTCAAAGCCAGAGGTACATTGTGGTCTGTTACATCTTGTTCATCCTGGAGGCAAAGAGGTCCACCTCTGCCCTGCCAAAGCGATTCCATATCTGAGCCACTACCAACGGATGCAACCTCCACTCTCTGAGAAGTGGTCCTTCCCAGGAGAGAAGGTCTGCTCCCAGGTTTAGGACGTTCTGGAACGTGAGTGGCTCTGAGAGACAAAAAAAAAAACACTGCATCACTGCAACAGAGAGTGAGACAGTTTTAAGAGTGGAAGTGACCGTGTCCCTCCCTGCTTGTTTAGGCAGGAGAGACCACTGTTGTCCGTCCTGATCAGAACATTCTTGCCTGTCAATGCTGGACAAAAATACTTCAGAGCCAAGTAGGTCGCTCCAGATAGTTTATGTGAAACCTGCTTTGTACAAAGGTCCAGACCCCGTTGACTGCTGCACCATCACACAACACACTTTCTCTATTTGGGACCCCTGACTCAGCAAGCCATGTACCCTCCAAGGGAGAAGAGTTAACATGCAATACTGAGTTTTCATCAGCCTCCTCTGGAGGTGACGTGTAAGCGCTTGCATCTTTAACAGCCCGAGCGGCACAACAGGGATCATAGATGCCATCATGCCCAAAAGCTGTATTATCACACGGGAATGCAGTTTGCGCCCCAACTGAAATTGAGCGAGGCAGCAGTGAAACGTGGCCACTCAGCCCTCTTCCAAATGAGCTGGAAAGGGAGCACAGCGATAAGCATCTCCATTTCAACTGGTCTACCTGCTAAAGGCGAGTTTAAAATGATGTCTCGCTCTTCCTAAGTCCAAGAAGATTCACCCATCTGTTCCTGCAGGGAGCTTCGGGAAGCCTGTTGGTGGCGGTCGCCATGATGGAAAGGCAGTCTAATTCTAACTTTCAGTCAGCCTATCGACAGGCTAAGAGCTGGAGCTGAGGAAGGTCATAAGCCTCCTGACAAACAGCTACACCACGCCCGCTCCGGCTCGTCAATCAGGTCAGCCACGGCCTTATTGTGAATAACTCTTGTCCTTCATAATATCAAAACGGATGAGTTATCTGATCCCCCCCAAACATCCTGTGCTTCTGCAGCCAGCCTCAAGCGGACACTTGACAAACTGCAGGATTTTGCACTTTAGCTCTGGCTTAATTTTTTAACACCGGAAGGTTGCGGCTTAGTGATATCCCATACCATATATTCACCCATATATGTATAGTACTGAGTGAATCGACTGAAAAGGAAAGCGCCATACTATGGGCCAAATGCCCACACACCCAAACATAAAATCTCTCCCCCTCAAATGCAAACATACAGGGGCACCTTATCTCTCGCAGCCCCATCACAGGGATGACTCAGCACTCGTCTCTCCAGCTGCTTTCAAAATCACCACAATCGACACACCAAAACTGTTTTTTGTGCAACACAAACACTATCATGGACACACGCTAACAACCACAGCCCAGCTTGTCAGATGACACAACTGATTCTGACCAAATACATTTTCTCTCAGGGCTTCATCCACTTAGCTTTGTTTTCCATCAACTCTGCATGTGTTTGATGTTGTCTATCTGACTTATGTCTAGTCAAAACATGTTCAAATGTTTACACAGGTCCATGTTCCTAGATAACCTGTTGTTTACATGATTTACAATTTATTAAGGAAATTCTTGTTGTTGTTTGTTTATTTGACAACTGAAACCAGACATTTTCATTGTTTGGATCTGAATCATGCTTTCCTGGATAAATTTCACACAGCTTGTGGTCTTTGCTTTGAATAATACTGTTGAGAATGAGATTCCACGCATAATTCTCTTTTTTTCATCTTGGCTAACAATTCTGAGCTTCTCCAGTAACCAGGAACACTGGCATTGGCACCTAGACCCATAATCAACATACGTTTACTTCCAAACTCAATGGTGTAGCCTTTATCCTTCTAACACACACAGTACTTCCCAAATCTTGTTAGGCCAATCTGAAAGCACACAAAAAAATGTGCTTGGTTCTCAGGCTGGGTTCAGATGGTGAAGGTGCTGATTACTGTGGTCACCAGGGATTAAAGAGCTGGCAGGCCTGAAAGAGCCCTTTATAAAGGAGCTTTTAACTAGTTAGTTTACCCTCTTGTCAAATTCGGACAGTATAAACAAACTGCACAGAGACTCTCTCAACACAACTCAAAGCGTTAGTCGGAGCTTTTCAGAAGAAAGCAATGATTGTGTTGTTTATTACACTATCACTCCTCTATGATATCAGAACTTGCTGCTTCGGCCTACACTGCTGCATGCCAGATGTGACATACTTGTAGCAAACAGGGAATGAACGCATAACAACAACTCCTGAATCCGTACAGATTTGATCTTTTACTGACGTTGATAAATGTCTCCAGTGACATGACATTGATGATGAAAGACTAAGATCATTCAGAAGAAATTTGAAATTATCTTTGGGACGTTACCAGGAAGTTTTCAGTGTGCGTCGAATTATTTACTTTGCCTCTTATGTATCAGAGTTTTATTTTATTACCTTCTTTAATGTTTTTCACTCTTTGAGAGAGCGGTGGTTACCTCTTTGATTCGAATGTTTTATTTTAGATGAAACGTACAAACTGATACACTAACGTAGTTAGTAGTAATACCTTAATTTAAACAGTTTCAAGGGTAATCGTTGGCCATTGCAATGCATTGTCAGAATTGGTTTTCACCTGATGTCCACATCCAATTTGTTAATGTTAATGTTAATGTATAAAGAAATGTGATTTTTTCAAATGTTTTTTATTATAGATTGATATACGAGAGAGAGAGCATATCAATCTGTTTAAGGCATTTCAAAAATCAATCTCATATTATGAAATTTATCTGACATTCATTAATTTTGCTCTTTTTAAATTACATGACAAAGAACTGACAGAGACAGAGGGGTAATTTCACCTCTTATCTTTTCAACCCTGCCATAGACACTCAAGATCACAAGAAAGGATTGGACTGGATTACAGTATCTCGTATTGAAGCACAGATTGAAGTGTCTTTGTATAATAAGAGTGTTAATGCTTTGCTGACCTATTTTCTCCTTTATTTCCCATGCTTTAAAAACACTTATCTTAAATCTACAGATAAGGCCTGACTTAAGTCAGTAACATGCACTCTTTGTGCCAAGGCCTTACATAAAGCTTGCCAGGCAGCTGCTTGTTGACATAAAAACACAAGAAATGGCAACATAATGAATCATGTTTTACACATCATGTTGTGGCTGATTTGATCTGTTCAAGGAAATAAGGACACAAGGCAACAAAGTTACTGCCCTAGAGGAGGTCAATTTAAGGGGCAGCTGTTAAAGATTTGATGACAGTAAGGTGTTTTATCAACAGCAACAAAAAAACTCCAAATCAAATGGAGAACTGGAGTTTGTTTCAAGTTAGAAAGAAATTAAAGTGTAGGCTATGTTGTTAATGTGACTTTAATAGGTGTCTTAGTTCATCTGCGTGTATTAGGGACAAAATCCCCTTGGTACAGTTTGTTTGAATGAAGAATATATTAAGTATAAATGGAGACGGGACCTTGAAACATAACAACAAAGCGGATTAGTGTTAGGCATGACGGGACGAGGTCAGTGGGCCTGGCGTAGTGTTACATCTATGAACAGCTGACCCTGCCCACATATTGTTTGTCTGACATAAATGTCAAAGTGAATAAACTACCTCTAATTATGAAATGCACTATAAAATAAAATAAATTATACCAGAGCTTTCGCATATTAAATGACATCTTCTGAATGATCGTCTGAGTCGGACATTTAACGAATCCCGAAATGAATAAACAGAAGCAGAAATGGTAACTATCCTGGTTTGGCTCTCTGATATGTGTGGGTCTGAGTTACCTGATAGGGGGGCGGTGGCTCCTGGTCGGCATCAGTACCGTCTCCGTAGCTGGCCCGGTCCGACTGAGAGTCATGTAGCAAAGAAATATCATCCGAGGTCGGAGATTTCAGACAGTTTCCCATCTCCTTCCTCGTCCAGTCAAACTGTCCCCTCTTTCTCGGTGTAGATTTACTAACCTGAAAGGTTTGACAGCAGGGTGCCACACGCAACTTTCACATATAACGTCAGTGGATGAGAAAGTGTCGAGAAGGCGTTTTCCATAAACAGCTGATGAGTCTCCTCTCCCAGACGACGGGAGGGCTGCACAGCTCAACAACAACACATCCCCTCAGCTAGCAGCTAGCCACACAAAGAGCTAGTCTGCTAACACTAAGGTAGCACTCGCAGGGAAACATGAACTCGTTTGGCACCAAAATATGACAAGTAAAAAAAAAAAATCACAGGTTTAAACCGCAGAGGTTTAAAAGCGAAGTAAATGTTAATCTCCCGCATTCATCAAGGAAATTCTCACTGCTGTTTGTTTGACTGGCTCCTCGCAGACAGTCAGGGACTTTCCACAAGGTGGTGATGTGTTGGAGACGCGAAGCCCCGCCCCTTCACAGAGAGAGAGGGCCAATGAGCACTCACTTACATCCAGGAAGCCAATCAGAATCTTGATCACGTTACCCTTTTGCTCAAAACGTAAACACACGGTCAAAATCGAGATAATAGTCTTTATCGTGGCCACTTTAAGGGTAGTTTTGTGCCAAATTCAACGTTTCAACGTGATTACCCCCTTACTAGCAGTTCTGCTATTCTGTGCAAGTCTGACATAATTTGCAATCTTATCTGTCGCTGCCATTGCCTTCAGTAGTCACATAATAAGAGGATCTCATTGTAGGCTTTTTCTTTTTTACTAGATTAAGCCACAAGATTATTTCGTGGTTCAGACAGTGGTACAAAAATGACAACAGAAAATGTGTTGTTTAGAAGCGTTTCATCATTTCATCTTAAATTACAATAGAAACATTCAGTATGTACAGGAATGTCATTCTAGTCAGTGGTAGCCTTGCCCTGTAAAATATTCTGATTGTAAACATCACAATGCCACTAAATCGGTTAAGAATAACTTTTAGATAAAACCACAAATCAAAAGGGGGGGAAAAAAGACTATTGGCCAATTAATTACAAGATAATAAAATATTCTGTCATTGGAATAAACCAGATAGTGGTTGCTATTAAAGCAATTTGAAAGTTAATTTCCTCCACCATAAAACAATGAAATTTACTCTAGTCATCCTACGGAATCCTAACCCTTAATCTAATGCATAAATAAGCAGGGGTCTAATTGCAACACTTGAGACACCATCTGGGTTCCTTCTCTTTTGACCCTGTGTTGCTTGGACACAGCCCTTCAAACAACGTCATCACAAACACAATTAGAGGTGACCCCTTGTTGTCATGACAAGCATTGCAAGGATTTGTTGATATACAGATTATTATATGACAAGATTGTAGTTCAAGTCCTTCTGCAGGTGGTAGTTTCAAGCAGACCTCAAACAGGAGCAGAAGAGGAAGTAGGAGGAATTGGTAGTTGCCATTCAGAGCTTCTTCACTCACTAAAGATGCAACAGGCAGACACGCTCACAGTCCTTTGCTGCTCTGCCTGAATGGCCTGTTTGTTCAGGCTCAAGTGCTGTTGGAGTCTGTCCCACACGCCAGGAGGAGAAAAGGAGGGAGTTTGCCTTTCTAAAAGACACATTCATCTGTCCTCTTAAAACGGGACAATTTTTGTAGTAGATGCCATTTACAGTATATAACCTGTAATTCAAATAGTTGAACTCTGGAGACTTTCTTTGCCTAGCTCTGTGCACATTTCCTTCTTTACACAAAACTGCAAATGACACTGAAATACATCATCATTACAGATTTGAACATTTCTTTCTTTCAACAGTGTGTCAGCATTTCAAAATATTTTCAGGAAAGGAATAATATTCAAAATAAATATTTTACTCTGAGGCACTCTATAAACCAAAAGCTGTCATAGTGTAAAAGTGAAACCCACACTCATTCATGTATATCTAATTCAATCCAAGTGGTTTTGATCTAAAAATAGGTAAGTCACAAAATTTCAGTTATACCTGATGATGATGTCAACAAATAAATATGTATCATCCTTCATCATAAGTCATTTAATATATTATCTCTAATTTATATTTGATCATAAGAAGTGGGAAGGCTTTGTAACAAAATATTCAAATGCAGGCCACAGGGAGTTGATGTCAGTAAATCTATGGGGGGTGGTTGGTGCTTTGGCTCTGCCAGATCCAAGCTTACCACTATGGACTAGGCTTAATCTTATCCTGGACTAGTAGCTGAAGTAATTTATATTATATACTACATAATTTAACCTTGTTTTCTACCTTATAAGGTGTGCCCCTTATGTATGGTCACAGTGCTAGACAACCCAGCCTGCTAAAGCAATGTTTCATAAATATAGGTTCATTTCTCAACTTGTCTGTCTTTGATATAAAAGGAAGAGGAGTTCAACATAATTTCACTTTGGAAGACGGCTTATTAAACCCACCCATCCCAAGGTCACATAGAGATGCAGTGCCCTATAAGGGTGGCGCACATACAAAAAAAAAACAACCATCCCTCTTCCTCTACTTTCCTGATGTAAAAAGAAAAAAGGCTGTTCCCTCCCACGTCTGTTACGGGCTGGAGGGAACGTGGTTGCCATTCTCCCCCATAGCCTTTGCTTTGAGCAGAGCAGCCTGAATCCGGAAGTGTGTCCGAGATTCCATCGAGTAGTTTTTGTAATTTTGCCTGAAAAGCAGCAAAAAGCAAAAGTTAAAAGTCATTTAATTGAACATTGTTATTTGTTATCAAAAGGTTGCAGCTGTACATCCTGTCTGTTCTGCTTGTAGAATACTTACTTGGCGGCTTCAAGCAGTTTGATAGCTTCATCTTTTCGGCCTTTCTCCAGACACAGCAGGCCGTGCTCCAGCAGGGCATTAGGAACCAGGTAATGGTCATACTTAATCTGACTCTCACTGCAATTAATTGGGGAAAAAAAACATGGATTGAAGTATATGTGGCTGTGTAGTCAGTATAAACAAAGACTTACTATTGTATAACCAGAGAATGTGAAACAAATAAGATGGGCTTACACAGTTCAATACAGATACTGTATGAATCTGTGCATGTTACTGAGAGAGGCTTACTTGCAGAGGACCAGAGTAAAGTAGTGTTCGGCCTCTTCTTGGTGCCCCAGGTGTTTGAGACACAGTCCCTTTAAGAGGCTCAGAAGACACTGGTCATCTATGGAGAACTCATTCCCTGACAAACACAATACACAATACAGTAATTGATTTACTTTCATATTTAGTTACTTATATACTACATAATTATCTAAATGCTCACAATACATTTAGCATGAGTGTAGCCTCTAAAATGCAGTCTGCCTTAAAAAAAATGTATATTAAAGAAATACAGTATAAACTATGAATATTATACATTACAATCATCCTCTTCCAAAATAAATCATTTAAGATAATTTTGCATACTGCTCTCAAGTTTAGCCTGGGCCTCTTCCAGTGTTTTAAGCATGCCCTCTGTCAAGTCTCTGTGTTTGCCAATGACTGTATAACCGTTCCAGATGTACATCATCTCCTAGAAAACACATAGAAAAGAAAGAACATTTTCATTGATACAGGTGAGCAGAAAATGCATTTTCACTTTTAAAGAAACTCAGTTCTATAAATGGATTTTAATTGAACAACTGTATTCATTACATCACTAGCTCGAAGAAAACTTCTCCAAGACGGAATTGGAGTTACATCCTAATTGGTCCGTTCATTAAATGCAAATCTTAGTAGGCTGCCCTACGTGATTAACACATGGCTTTCAGATCTTTTTAAACTGTCACCCCTGTGTGATGCCAAACAGCAATTTCCGCCTCTATTGTTAGTCAAATGACATACGAAAGAAATCCAAAATAGTATCAGTGCAAAAATTCCGTCATGCTTATACATCAAGTAAAGCAGTGTGACACGTCAAATAGCTTCATCCAGTACTGACCAGCGGAGGAGCAGGAAGAGGAATGGGGCTTTCTGCAAGGTAGCGACGTGCTTTCCTGATAGCAAACTTCTCTGTTGGTAAAGATTTCCCTGCTATTTTCTGCTTCAGCCCAGGGACCTGCCTGAAATATGATGAAGTGCAAACATTGGTGGTATTAAGAAAATATGTGACACAACAATTATAGCCATACACATCTCAAAGTTTACAAAGGTTTACAAAAATCAACTGCCTGGTAGACATTGTCTATAATAATACATTCAAACTCAAAGTCCCTTTACCCCTGTATTTCAAGAGAAAAGATGATATCACAGTGTCACAGTGAGTCACGTCTGCTGCTGTAAAGCCTCAGCTCTTACTTCATACCTGAACAGAGTGAGTGCAGTCTCCCCGAAGGTTAGGCAATCATCTGCAGTGAGCATGCTGAGGTAGGCTGCTTTCATGTACGCATAGGTAGCCTGTAGGAGGGAGAAAAGGGTTAGTTACTGTAATCAAATCTTTTTTTTTTTTTTTAAGATGAGGAGACAAAAACTACAAACTTGAGGAAATTAGAGGGTCAGCGTATATACAGAATTCAGGTTTGGTTTTAAAATGCTAACTAAGCTTCCTGCCCCTTCAAGTGGCATAAAATGTAATTCATTTTCTTTTTCACCTTTGTTATCAAATATTTAATACATTTTATCTCATGCATTGTGCCCGTCAGGTGAAAACAAAACTTACTACTACAACATAAGATGCTCCACTGAAATATAAGTTGGGAATGATTTCTGTGTAAGGTTTATGTCATAAACACAACTCCTTTAAGACACCACATTTTGAGTTGATTTTAATGGTGTTGCTTCTCTACAAACTGAGAAAAGAGCGACAACATTTTGTTAAAAGAAATGACTTGAACAGAATTTCAGGAATCTAAAACATGTGCCAAACAAAGAAATAGGGGTTTCATTTCATGCCAGCTTCACTGACTTTAGTGCCTTTAACCATCTGTGCTTACGTCAGGAATTTCTTGAAAATTTGCCCGTTTCAACACAAAGGGTGACTCAGCTCTGAGTCACCTATTTGTGATGGTGTGAGGAAAGTACCCAGTCTTCTGCCTAATTTAGTTTTGCCTCATTATTTGGTCAGGACATGTTTAAATCCATCTCTTCTGTAGCCCACCTTGGACCAGGAGTTCTCCTTGCTGAGCAGGTCAGCGTAGAAGTAGGCCATCTTCCAGTGCCTCTTGTATGTGAAGCACCACATGAGCTCCCAGTAACACATGTGGTGGAACTGCTTCCACTGCTGCTGAGCCTCGCAGCACTCCTCAAATCGCTTGATAGCCTAGAAACACACCAACCACAGAGAATGTAACCTTTTAAACCATATTCAGTGATTTCAACATGTGCGCGACTCGATATAAAAACACAGATCTTTTTTATGACTTTTATGTTATAAAATGGAGAACCAGCTTCATTGTTTTCTTTATTTTAATCCTAGTTCAGATGTATCTTGACAAAATCTCCCCAGGTCAACAGAATGATGGGAACTCACAGCATCTAGGTTTCCTTTAATCTCCTCGATTCGACCAGCGAAGAACAAAAAGATGGATCCCTGAAAAAAAAAAAAAAAACCACAGTACGTTTGGGAACACTTCAGAATATATTTTATCTTTTTTATTTTGATAACACAGCTCTTAACACTGTCAAACCTTGGGATATTTTTTGAGATATGGCTGCAGTAGTTTCTCTGCATCTTCAACATCTCCCTCTCCTGTGCCTGTAAGGGACAAAGAAAAAACAGAGTTAACCATATCCGTTTTTGGTGGTTTGTCGCAGCGGCCTGTGAGTGCGTGATTGAGAAATGATAAGAGAGTGTGTGTGTGTGTGTGTGTGTGTGTGTGTCCTTTCTCACCCAGTATAAAACTCATGAAGGTGTGATAACACAGCAGCAGCATGTTACATAGGAAAGATCTGAATGTGCTTTCTGCAGAGCCCTCTTGTAGCTGCTGCAGACCAAACTCCTACATCAACACACACACAAACAGAAATAAACACATACAGTTGTGTACACATGAGCTGGAACACACACACAAAAAAAAGAAGATTTTTATTATTGATTTTTTCTGCTGAAGGACCAGAAGCATCTGTATGTCCACTTGATCCTTTTTAGGCATCTAATCTGAACAGAGAGTGTGCACATTTATGAGAGAGCATAATAAAGATATACAGATCAGGATATGAACATTCACACTGTTCAGGTTATGGTATTACTCTCAACTCCAGATTTGATTTATAACATTTCATTGTTTTGCAAATTAAAGGACAGCTGTTGTTTTTTTACATCACTTTTATATTGTTCTTTTATTCACTGGTTCTGAAAACAAAATTACTTGACAAAGAATGAATACATGAAAAGTCATATTTTTATAACAGCAACAAATAAACAGCTCATGATCGAGAGAAAAGGATCAGTCATTGGTTTCTATTTGAGGCGGGGAAAAAAAAAAAGATTTATGTAAAAATCAATGTTCATATCTTCTGAGATTTTAAATAGATTCATAACTTCCAAAAATCAAAGAATCATCTTAGTCATTTAGCCATCAATCTTTACAGCTGAAGAAGTTTCATATTTCATGATTCACTAAACATGTCAGGTTCACCTCTGTTAACTGTGTTAGTCACAAGATTTACTACAAATTCAAAGCAATATTTACTATGAATTAGTCAACCAGCGAAACTGCAACCACGGATAGAAGTATTAGTTCTCCTCATGTTCTTTTCATATTTAAAATCAAAGACCCATCACTGCAGTGGTCCTCAAACTTTTCAGCTTGTGACCCCCAATAAGTCTGGAAGCAGAATACAAGTAATTTCCATGTATGTATTTAGCACTGAGTGGACATTTAATCCTTAATAAATAACCACAAAGGTTATGTTCATCTCTGTGTAAAGAGCAGCAGACACCTTCATTGGTGATGTCATGTGCAAACTTACATGTTCAGTCTTTTTAGACATTACTTTAATTTCCATTTCACGTAATAATACATTGTTTTTATTTTTTATTTAAATGTTTTTTGTATATATAGTTTTTAACAATAATAATTAAATATACAATTTAAAATGATTTTCCCCGACCATCACTACATTACTGTACACAGCACAGGACAATCCATTTCCTGTCAAACATGTGTATCCACCCTCTGTCCTATCAGCTCTTGCTTCTGTCAGACATTACTGGCTCTTACTCACTGGCATAACTCACCTTATTACCAGAGAAACCGACAAACTCCAGCAGCTTGAGCGTCCGCGTGGGCAACATGGAGATCATCTGCAGAGAGTGGATAACAAATGGAATAAAAAGGCAAATTGCAAGGTTACATGAGGATTTATTTTCTTCTTATAACAAGGGAAGGATCATGAATTAACCAAGTTTACCAAGTAAACCAAGTTTCCACTGCATATAGACAAAAAAGTAGAACAGGAAATCATTTACATTTATTTACAACTTATTCATTCTTGATGTCTTAGGTTCAGACATCCAAAGTAAACAATCAAAACACTTGTAGATGGACCATCTTTTACTTTATTTTTAATTTAACCAGGAATATCCCATTTAGATAAAAAAAATTTTTTTAATTGTATGTGTGTAAATTTTGGTATAAGAAGATTAAGAATTCTTTAAATATACCTCAGGCTTGATATTTTGTGGAAGTCCTTTATCCCCAAACGATTTTCTTTGACCACATTTTATTTTTAAATTTTTTACAAATGCGTGTATTCATCTGTCAACTTACGAGATTAAAAGCTCCTACTCCCAGTTTTACACCACCTTCAAAATGGCCGTGGTTTTCCCCGTGAATGTATCCAGCCGACTGGAGGACCGTGTGAAGTTCTCTGTAAGGTACACATGGAATTGCATTTCAATTCATTTTTTAATTAAAGGAGAAAGAGAAAATGCGGTAAAGTATAACTGATAAAAACACATGACAAGATTTAGATCTCACTTGTATGTCTGGTAGCTGTTCCTCACTTTGATTCCCCCTTTGATGAAATTGATCATGTTTTCATCCTGAACAGAGAATGGAAAAGAAGAGAATAAGTTATTTTTTATTATAAATATAGAAATAGAGGTAGAAGCTGAGGCAGATTAAAGGGATACTTCACCCATTTGCATTAAGCTTTATATCATTTGAAACCTGGTAGTATTTTTGAATGGTCGTGCATCCTGCCCTCATTTTCCCCTGTGATGGGAAATCTTTGTATTTCTAAGTCTGAAAAGGAGCTTCTGATTATGAAAAAAAAATCGTCATTTTGCGTCATCGGAAGCTGTTGCGGTTAGCAGGGTGAAACTACAATGCTAGTTCCTCATATTTTTGACCACTGAAGCTACAGACCAATCACAGATCAGTAGGTGGGAACTCACTCCCAGAATCGAAACTTAACGTCCGCCATATTACTTGGAAGCTATGCTAACAGGCTCTATGGAGAAAGGTGATAATGGCAAAAAAATATAAATATAGCGGCGAGACGGCTGCTGCGACAGGCTGGTCTTGTGTCTTGGCTGTTGCGGCCACTGGCCGCCGCTGGACGCTGCTTGCCGCTTGCCGCTTGCCGCTGGCCGTCGGTGCTCTCACTGCCTATGAACACAGACATATAGTCTGCTTTATGCCAGGAATTTCCAAGATGCCAATTCCTTCTGGATTAAATCTCAGAATCAGTTGAGGAAACAGCCTTATGTGTTGAAGTAAATATGTGTCTGTAACGAGAGGACCTTAGTGGGAGTGGCCTGCGGTGCTGTGCATTCTGGGATTTGGTGTCTTTCATCCACATGAGCCAAAAAGACACTTTGTGCCTTTTCTCGGCCAAGAAGGCACCAACTTCAAAATGTATTTCACATTTCTACTACATATATGACCCAATGTCAATACAGATTCATGTTTCAACGGGTGAAGTATCCCTTTAAGTGAAAGGCTGTCTCCTGACCTGAAGGAAGGTGAGCGCTGCCCTCTGCAGGAGACATTCGGCGAAACACACCTCTGCATGGAGTTCCTCTGATGTAAAAAAAATATATATTTTCACATCGTTACAATTAATCACAAAGCCCTAAAGCTGCAGCATTATTCCAAATACAATACACATATGTACACAAACACATACAATGTGTATAAAGTATTTGACAATAGCACACAGACACACAGAGGCAAAGATTTGAAATAGTGTACAGCACTCAAAGGCGTTAACTCTTGAACCAAACATCTTAAACTGCCTCCTTAATTCTGAAACCTGCTGCTTTAAAAACAGTTACGCTCCTCATATTGTCAACAAACGACTTGACTGACCTTCTGTGAAGTTCTTGGAGAAGCTGGACTTCTTGCGATGCCTGAGTGAATAAAAACAAAATCCAAGAATTTATTACGGATTTTTTTAAAGACAAGTAACATTTAAAATCAAGGCAGGAAGGGAATACAGAAAAAATGGGAAATAATTAGGGCAGTAATGGTTTAAGATGATACTCCACATTCAAATATAAAGATCAAGCAATGGTGCTGTCATTGCTAACATTCTAGTTAGTTGTAAAATGGGAAAATAAAACGCTTTTTTTTTTTTTTTTTAACAAACTGACACACAATGGAAACAATCAGGTGAACAGAACAAGATCACAAACCGTGTGGTTATAAAGTTTAAGGATCAGGATATGGAGAAACACAGTTTCTTAAAGCCTTGCTTTTTATTTCTGTATCATTTTCAGCGACTTCCCGTAGTTGTCTATGATAAGAGACTTTGTTAAGTAGCCAGGATTGTGTTTCCGCAGCACTGTTGACCTGCATTTCTCTGCTCCTCTTGTTTCTATTGAAATCAGTGAGTCAGCCTCTTTCCAGAGGCAGGATGCTGATATGCTGTCGGCTGAAGTTACCTTATGATGCTGAGTGTGCATTTTATTTCCCAACAATCAGACACAAAATTGAGAAGCCATACTGTAAGTGCAGCCAAAATACTGATCAGTGACATTCTGTTTAAGAGGTGTGTCTTTGAGATTTAGCTCATAAGTCTGAATCATGACAGACTGTCACAGTGGCTACAGGAAAAATATTCACACACTGCTGTGACCTTTCTTTGGCTCGTGTGTTTCAATGATTCCAGCATGCGCTCTGCTTTTGGCATGATGTTGCTAATAGGAGACAGTGTTCAGAAGATTCAGTTCCATTTATTGTGTGTCTCAATGTAAAATGCTATTTTCCAAATAACCTCTTATGGATACATTTTAATTACCTTCAATCTTGAAAACTTGAAAAAAACTTGCTTTCAGGAGATTTTTTTTTTTTTTAATTGTTTTTACTTCTACAGCAGACAAAAGACAAAGTGCTGTTGGGTTTACATTTCACCCTGGTGGTTTGGGAGGGTCTTACCGCTGACAGAGAGCCTGGGCCTCCTTCATGGTGTTTCCTGCAGCCAGAATGTGATGGGGGTCAAATGTCATCATGGCCTGCATCTCCAGGATGGTGGCATAGGTGAGAGCGTGATACATGCTGTCTTTGGTTCTATGAAATAGAAAACACACTTTGAATTTTTCTGTAAGAAAAAAAAAAAATCACATTTTAACCAACAGGTGATTCACATGAAAAAAGATGCTGTTTTTGGTGTCTTAATAAAGGAGTTAAAGATTCACACAGTAGTTATTGAATGAGGGACATCAATGAATGTCTGAAGTAAAGGATATCAAAAAAACCAAAAACAGTTAGTGTACATTAATGATCCTGCGGTTGTTGGTGTGTTATGTTACGCCCTGTGTTTGACAGAATTCCTGCAGGTACTTAAAGGGATGAAGGAGGAGTAAAAGTGTCACACACATTTTTCCAGTAGATTGACTTGTTGCTCCAGTCAAAAGAGGCTGCTCTTCTGGTTATAACCCATTATTTAATCTATAAAAAAAACTCAAGCTAAACAATAAAAATAACATGGTGCAATGCCATTTCATTTTCCATTATTATTAATAACAATAACTATTATTAATAACAATACCTCTTTCCAGTGTAGTTACTGTGTAATTTTTTTATTTAACTGATGATTTTTAACTTCTATTTTTATTTTTAATAATTATATTCCCATCACCTGTTTTCTGGAGCTGCTGTAATGTACAAATTTCCCCCACAGGGGATCAATAAAGTTTATCTTTATCTTTATCATTAATATGCTGTCCTGCTGCTGTTTAATTGCACGGTTTAAATAGTTTTATATGTTCTGTATTAACCTTCATGTTGTGTGTTTGTTCATGTATTACAAACATGCTCACTTTCAGTCAGAAAGGCAGAGGGGTGTAGTGAGGAATGCTGCCAGTCTGCATGTCTGACATGCCGCTGGTGTTCACCACAGACTGACTCATGTGACCAGCCGCTGGGGAGTTACACTGTGTACACACTGTTACAAAAACTGGAAACAAAGTTTTCAGATAATAATCCACTTAAACTTTGCTTTTTGATTGCACAATTCATAAAGAAGAGAATATGTTATATTCATTGAAGAGAAGGAGAGACAGACAGAGATTAAGGCATCATAATCTGAGTGGCTGTCATTTTGTCAGGGTCGTACATTTGCATCGGTACATCAGGATATTTTTTAACAGAGAGCATAACTTTCTCTACTACTGAATCCACCGATATAACAGGACACAACAACAACTTAGCAACAACCAGGAAGTTACATTGGAGAGTTAATGGAGGCGGAGATACTTCTTGAGAAGCAGTGAGATTTCCCTGTCTTGTGTCAGACTTATGTAAGACAACAGCAAAAAAAAAACTCAACCTGGGAAACCTTTTTAAGATGAAGCTGTTAGGTAAATTCAATTGCTCGTAGCTGTGTTGAAAGTGGCTGAGAATGTCAATTATTTCACAGCAGCCCTGAGGTATTTTTCAATCACTATCATCCCGAGGCTCCGGGAAACAAAAAAAAGGTCTTCCCCCTGCTCACAGCATTAAAGCTGGGTTTCCCACAAAATGTTGACAAAAAATTCCACCATGCAAGGACAGAGCGGTTTTGTACATTCTCCAAAATTACTTGTGTGGATCCACGCCTTTGAGTCAGTTCCTCACGTGTAAGTATGAATCAGGAAGTAAAGTAATGACAAGAGAATCGGTACAAGCAATGAGTTTGTTTCTGTTTGTTTCTCAGTTGGAAAGTTTCAGAAATGAACAAATACGTTCCAAAACCAGAAGGAACATTTTTAACCTCATTGCAGACTTCAGTCTGATTAGTTAGATTTATCTTGACCATAGTTCACCTTTGCACCCCCTCCCTGCTACAGCTGTAAGGAACAGGGTATGCTGGGAGATAAAGATTGCACTGTTTTGGCTATACTTTGTCTGGTGGCATGTTTGAACAGATAGCTGGCAAATAAAGCTAAGCCTGCTGTTGGAAACCTCTGAGGTGTTGAATCCTGACTGAGAGAGGAAAAATCAATTGGCTGGTTATTAAGCAGGCATGTTTGTACAATGCTGTAGGTGAGTCTGCTGTGGCTGCCTGACTTTAAGAAACAAGTAGCTTGGACTTTTACATTTGAAACATATCAGAGATAAGCAAAATGAAAGGACAGTTCCACCTATAGATTTATATAACAGGGTGTGAGTTGCCCACTGGTGTCTGCATGAAGAATAGTTTGGACTATACGCAGTCTCTGATGATGAAGAACATTTAAGAAAAGGGGCATCCTGTAGGGCTGCTATCAACCTAAGCAAACAGGTGATAAAACATTTTGAAGCATTACACATTCTTCACCAATGTTTAGTTTGAAGCTAATGCGAGGGAAAACAACGTCTCCAAGTGAGTGTGATTGACAGACCTCCTCTGGATCAACTGTTTTTCTTTGATTGAATCCATAAGACTCCTGCTTCTGTGTTAATGGATTACAATCCTGAACAATCGTGAATAACTGTGTCCAAATATCTGAATTAGCACTTAATATCAGGAACAAAACGTAGTCCCACATCTTCCTAGGTGATTTACACAAATCTCATTTCACACTTTCCTTCAACAGTTAGGTACAGGCATTACAACGACAAGCGGTACAAGTAAGTGCAAAAACACTATAATGGCTAACCCTGGACCTCTACCAGTGCTTGCAGGGATAGACTCCAGCTGCCAGCTGCCACTGTCCATAAACAGGAATGTAGGGGTAAAATAATGCACACATGATATTTAAATATAGATAATGAAAGCTCTCTCTGAAATACTATTACTATTGGCTTTCCCTTAATAAAGACATGTCGTCACACCTTAAAAAGTCTTACTTAGGACTGATGCCTCAAACTTCAATGTAAAACATTTTATCTGACCCTTACTGTCTCAAAACTGCAGGGAAAGGCTTGTAGAAAGGAAACATGGTTATTGGGCAACTTGTATGAAATTAATCCAACTTTTTCATTCGACAAAAAACTCCTGTATACCTTTCAAGTACAGTTAAGCAAGTAGAGACAACAATCCAGCCCACATCACAATGAAGCCCAGAATGATTATCAAATAGACCTATCTCTGCTGATATTCTTTCAGTCCTCCTCCTGCATGCACAAAAACAACCATCAGTGCTACTAACAGCTACAAACATGTTCATATTCACCACTCCTGTTAGTTCAGGTGCTCGAGCAAGTGTGAAGCTAAGGAAAGAGAAATGGGGGAGCTGATCAGCGAGCAGACTTCCAAGTCTCAGGTAGCAGTAGCAAGGATGTTGCAGGGGGTGATTTACAGATTTCCCTTCATTGTGTGGTATTTTACAGATTATTAAGCCTTGGTTAAGAAGCAAAAATAAATGATACCATTTTAAAACCCTTTCATGAAGGAATTATGAAATAGTGAAGCAATACTTATTTTACTTCTTAGGACATGCAAAGTAACATTTTTTTTATTAGCTTTTAAAAAAATTCATTCTTTATGAAGACAGAAGTCCTGCAACACTGCAATGCTAAATTTTAGCATTATTTTTTAATGCATATACAAATCATTGAATTTCTGTTTATATAATAATATTGTTCCTTAATTGTTACTTGATGTTAAAAAAAAAAATCCCTGTAAGGGTCTTATAGAACACTAGGATTGGAAAGATATTCCTGAGCCGCATGGCAATGGGGTTTTTCCATCAACCATCTTGACTTTGGAGAAATATATGGTACATTTACTACGTCTGTCTAGTGGGTGGCAGTGTATTGGATGACTTGCTTATGTCCATTAAAGAGGCTGATGTGAAACCATTCCATCAAGACTAATGCATCTAGCAGAAAACAGCTTTTTACCTGCTGTCTACTTTAGTGACCAGTATGCGTGAAAGGGTTAAATGGTTTTGACACTTGGAGCATGTAAAACGTACAATGATTTCCAATCTAGCTGTAGTATAAAAACCTGTCTCCAGTCCGGGTGTAAACCGGCACTGAAAAGACGAAACTGGGGCCAAGGAGTGGCTCACAGCCTCAGAGAAGAAAAAGAGGCTGGAGAATAATAGCAAAGCTGTGATAAACCCTCTGATAATAGAGGGAGAGAAAGAGCAGTGGACAATAGAGAAACTTGATGACACAGTGATAGTGTACTAAAGTAGATGTGGCATGTAAAGCCCTGAGAGGGAGTGTGTGTTTGAGACTCAAAGTAACTTGTCAGTCAAGTAAAGCTTTTTATCATTAAAATGCTCCAGCATCAGCAGAAAACGTCCTTAAGCTCCGAGGCTCTGGAGTGACTAATATCTCTGTAGCTTCTGTCCATGCACAGGACACGGTATTAAACCTTCAATTTATTTATAGTCTATCAGTTCTTATATTGCGATCTAAAACGTTAAAATGTTGTCGTCATTATTATACAAAAATCATTATAGCAGGACTTTAATCATTTTTTTTCAACATTTTTATGGAGCCAATAAGATGTAATTGCTTCAAGAAAAACATACACTCATAACAGGAAACTATTTAATATATTAGCTGTGGCTATTTGAGATAAATCAACGAAAGCAGTACAGCAACAGATAAGGGTTTTGCCGAATCATCATCAAAACAGAAGCAACAGAAGTGCGGATACCTTCATCCTGAATATAACCTTGAAACGAGGCAACCCATTTATCAGGCTGCTCAGTTAGGCTGTATCTGTATCTATCTGTTGTTATTCTTGTTATTTAAAGGTCTTTCCAGGGAGAGAGAGAGAGTGGGGAATGACATGGTGGAACTCAAGCCCAGGCCACCGCCTGTAGGGCCACAGCCTTCATACATGGCGCGCGTGCACTAACCAGTAGGCTACTGGCTAACTCGAGACATTTTAGAAAAGAGTGCTCTAGACCTTACTCTTTGTCATATTATTTACAAAGACCCAACATTAATCCATCATGAGCACAGCGCTAAGCAACATTTAGTGAAGTTACAGTGGCAACATGCACAGAATGACTATGCTATCTTGTGGATGCAAAGCAGGTATAAGCTACTTGTGTTCAACTTAAACGTGCAAAACGTTTTCTCTTTAGCACCAATCACAGACACTATCAATAGGTTCCTGCATTATGCAAGTCTCTTCAGGCACAGAGATACAGTTAGCTTACATCAGTAAGCTAAGATGACCACAATCACTTAGCTAATATGCTGATGCAAAGCTAGTATTTCCTGCTTGGTTTCGGGCATTAGCATACTTACATTTACTAATTACTATCAAAATGACATTATAGTCAGAGTGCTTTGACAAAGGACACGTGTCATTGTATTAAAGGCACAGTAAGCCTAATGACAAACACAGTGAGGCAGCATGCATTCGCCTATATACCAGGATATTTAACAACTGTGTGTAAAATCATGCAAAACCCCATTTTCGTTGTCTCTTATTTGATTTTATTTGTCCATGAACGCACAAAGCCAGGTGGTTCAGGGCTCCTAATAGAGCTGAGATCAGCAGCTATATTAGCACAAGGTTCAGGGTGGCTTTCCTACCTGCATCTGAGCTGGGCCTGTGCCTCCTCAAACTGGTTTCTGAGGAACAGATCCAAGGCAGACATGCAGTCCTCCAGAGCCAGCGACAGGTCTGACCGCAAGCACCTGCATGAAAAAACACAAAACATCTCGATGAGAACGGACAGTACATTATCATCTAATAAATAAGGCAAGGTGGGATGGAAGCAGGTCCTTTTCTGAAAAAGGAAAGGAACATCCTGTTGTTTGATTAATTCGTGGTGGATGAGTAATCAAGTACTAAGCCAGTCAAGTTCACGACAATTTCACAGTATATATAGGACCACAAATCATTAGGTTGACTCATATTTGTGGTTTCATAAGTGTCAAAGACTTCCTGTCACCTTTCCCCAACCACAGTAACTCTCTCTCTCTCTACTGCAGTGACCCTGTTCTCATTTACAGTCACAAAGGCTGGATCTTGGTATTGTTTCAGTTTACATACTCTTTCCAGTGTAATTCAACCCTTTTTAGTCAGACCTTTTAAGCAACTTGCCTCAACAGTGCGTATGCTGTTGGGGTTATTTCTGTTTGCTTCACACGGCACATTACAGAGGAAATCAGCTCCATTACAGTAATTCACAACCTCACCACTACCTCTGTGAAATACAGACTAACTTACCAGTCTTGAACACTTCAGACGAGGGAGAGATGATGTCGCTGCTTGAAATAGTTTTATTTCCTCTTGACCTTTTTTTTTGACCTTTTCTTCTACATCAGCTGTGTTAGTAAAAGTGACACACTTCCACTCATAATAAGTGTAATTTTGCTTTTTATTCATGTTGTAGGGCACATGACCGTCACAAACAAGCGTAGAGCATGACTAAATAAAGCACAAGTCATGACAGAATCCTTCCTTATTCACCAGCCGCCTTCCTCCTTGATCTCACTCAGTGTGACTGATAATGGATCTGCTCAGATGTTTTATTTCTCAGTGTCTGGGAGAGAACCGCATGTAAAGAACACATTAACACTCAGCATAATGAGCTGAGAGAATGAGTTGAGTTGATGTATCTGAAAGGCTGATTATTTTCTCTCATTGCAGTGGAAATTAAAACTTGTTCAAGAGAGTTACTTGCTTTTCTGATGTCTTTATTTGTTTGCGATGCCATTTCATTGATATGAAAGAGAAATCTGGTTTCTTTAAAATGCAGTATGGTTTTGCCCGTCTAACTTCTGTATTGTAATGATTTCTTTTGTTGTATAGTGCACATGACGACTGTTCCCCGTTGACAATTGAGAAGCTTTTACAAAACCTGTCAAGCAGTGTTACCACTTTGACAGAGCTGCAGAAGAATAGGACAGCAGTGACTTAGACAGTATTCCCTCTACATTCCTGCAAATTACAAACACAGAGGAAGCGTAACAAACACACACACACACCACCAGACCAACCACAATAAAGCAGCACACACACACACACACACACACACACACACACACACACACACACACCTAGCTCAGTTCTCGCTAACGACATGCGGGTGACTGACTGCTGCGTCCACCATATGACTGGTAACAAGCCCAGCTTCCTCATAACGGCACAAGACTCACAATGACAGTTGCTATTAAAGAAATATGTTTTTTTTCAGTTTGCATTGTCTTCATATCAGAGCAAAAACTTACAATATAGAAATAGTCTTAATGCTAGTTATCTTGTTTGCTTTTGTGGGTCATATAGAGAATGGTTCCCAACCTTTTTTCCTTCTTCTAAATACTCAAAGCGCTTTCACACCTGCAGGTCACAGTAACCCATTCACACCACATTCACACAGTGATGGCAGAGGCTGCTAAGTAAAGTATTAACTAATCCCATTTATACACATTCACACAACGCTTACGAAGCAGCAGGAGAAATATGGGGTTAAGTGTCTTTTTCATAACCAGTAAAAAACTCCTCACAGGAGCTTTAATCAAAGGTTATGTGAGAACAGTAGTATTATGTTGTGAATAAATAATACAAATATTGTTAATTCATTCAGACATTTTCTATTAAGTGCCTATCATAAAAAAAAAAAAACATTAAATCAAAGGTGATAAATAATACAGACATCAACAATGCCAAGCGTAGACTGCAACAAGGTAGCAAACTGAGTGTGTTTTTGTCATTGATTTCAAGGATATTGCTGCAGAGTCACATGTCTGACCAAAGAGGCCACTGCCTACATCAAACAGGGGCTTTCTCGACTGTGTTGTAACAGTTTTCCATCTGTGTGAGTAAAGGTGAAGCAGCATTTAAAATCACAAGTTACACAAAACACTGTATAAGCAATCAAGTGGATGGATGTTTGAACAGCTAACTACATCTTTATTGTGTATGCCAATCCCAAAGAAACTTCACACTAGTCACACTGTTCTTTTGCTGACTCTACATGGACTATAATTATTTCCTACACGTTCACTAAAACTTGACTCTCAAAGTCGACTTATTCAACCATATGAAGTCTTTGTCTTCATAGGTTAAGAACCTAGATGGAAACGTATCTCCTGTCAGATTGAGATGACACGCATAAATTATAGATAAATAGCACATGTAAATAATTGTTGAAGGAGGGGGCGTTTTGGAGAGCCTGTTTGCTTATGTGACTAAAGCAGAGTCTGTAAGCAGCAGGTACAACATTACTCTGATTAAATGTTCCTGTTGGCCTCATTAGTAAGGTCATGTAAGGGGATATAATCAAAAAATAACAATCAGTAACTTTTTAGTCATTTAATCAACAGTAACATTTTATCATGGCGTAAATCAAATTGAAATGGTCCTAACTGATTGGAGGACAGGATTTTTGTTGAGACCTCAGACAGAGATATGGAGCAAGCTCTCAGTTAGCACTCAGTAAAGGAAAGAGTCCCTAAATTATGGGAATAACTGTCCACTGTATGAGAAAAGAAAGACATCATGACCAGCACAAAGAAGTGAGTCTAATAGGTCGAGGATGTCCATACTACGCATTGTCCCTATAATTGAATTGAACTTCAAGTCAGCTGAATTTCTGAGTTGATTTCTCCAGAGAGAGCAGCTTAAACAATGATAATCCTTATCACAGATGCACGCATGAAGCCACTTAGCAGCACACAAGCACTTTATACGCGCACACCCCTCCATGTGCCAATGAAAAACAGATCAAACACACACACACACACACTCACACACACTCACACCCCTCCAACAGTGACGAAGCATTACTTCACGGCCTGTGGTTCGCTGCGCTTTCATCACATTTGTTCCAGCGGCTATAAGTTGTTCTTAGCGTTCAGCTGTGACACAAAAGAGCTGAGCAGCACCTAAAATAAACCAAGCAAGTTTGTCCACATGCCTGAGAGTCCCACAGCAAGAACACACACACACACACACACACACACACACACACACACACACACACACACACACACACACACACACACACACACACACACACACATTGACAAGGCATCTTACAGAGGCCAAACTACCATCAAAACATGTGAAGAACCTTACCCGTTTGACAGAGTCTCTTCCTCTTCTGACATTTTCATCTGGCAAAGTGTGTGTGTGTGTGTGTGTGTGTAGGAGAAAGAGATGGAGAAAGATGGTAGAGAAAAAGGAAACTGCAGAAGTGATTGGGAGCCTGGGGTTTTTCCAGCAGTGCAGTGTAATGGTGTGTGCCTCAGCAGCAGCAACAAGAGCAGAGGCAGCAGCAGAAGGGCAGGCGGTTTAAAAAAAGAGAGAGTATGAAGTGGAGAGGGAGGGAGGGAGGAAGAGAGGACAAGGAGGAGGAGGAGGAGGAAGAAGAGGAGGAGGTAGGATGCAGCAGCAACAGCAGATCTTAATAAGATTGGGATGACTATCACACGAGGGGAGGAAACACTGTCTATCTGTGATGCTTCTAACACACACACACACACACACACACACACACACACACACACACACACACACACACACACGCACACACACACACACACACACGCACACACACACACACACGCACACGCGCACACACACACACACACACGCACACACACACAGACGTACGCACAAGCAAAAAAGCTTGACAACCTCTTCCGATCATCATACTACACATTGCAGTCCAAACTGTGATTGGTTAATGCAAAGTCAGGGGGCGGGCTTAAATACCCACTATTCATGGCCTGAGGATTTTTATCTATGAAGGGAAACAAGAAACAAGTTAACGTCCGTCACTGAGTCCGTGACATAAAAATGTCTGCCACTGTAGTTTTAAAAAGAAAAATGAGGCTTGAAAGGTTGCTGAAGAGTGTGCTGGTGCGTACTTAAGAATCTCAGTTCCAGCCTGCTGCAGTGGCAGAGACTGAGCGCTGCAGCGACCACAGAGGGTACAGGAATAGAAGACAAAGATGCAGCTTATTCTGGAGAGGCCTGAAATCATGAATGAAAAGGGACACAGCAGCATAGCATTTCACCACTTTTAAATCTCTGATTAGATGTGTGTGATGTGAGAGATGTACAAACACATGCTCAGTATATTGATAAGCGTTATACTCCATTTAGCTTTACTAGCTGCAGGGCTCTGCCACTGTGCACACAAGTTCCCTGACAAATGCTCCCTGATTCAACTTTAATAGAACATAATCCGTTTAATTACATCCATGTATTTCTTGTTTTGACAGATCAAAATGACAGCTGTGAAAAGACCCACAAAATGCACAAATTGTAACATTCACTGAGCCTCGTGTAAGGACTGCTCTGTTCCACACCCTGTATCTGTGCCACAATAAACGACTTTGTCATCAAGTAAGAATCCATTTTTTTTTGGACAAAAACAGAAAGAATGCCCGTCAGGCCCAATTGGATGCCTTCAGATTGCTTGTTTTACCAGCCCACAACTCAAAGATCTTCAGGTCCAAAGTCACACAAGACAAAGATTGCAGAAAGATCTTCATATTCAAAAGCTAAACAGAAAAATGTTGAATAATTCCAATCATATGCTTAATCAATTAATTAAATAATAACTTGTTTTGCTACTTAACTACATCACTGGGGGCTAGTGTGTTTGAATAATGTTGGAAGAGAAACAACAAAAGAAGAGAATATCTGCTGACCTATTGTAAATAATATTTCTCGACAGAGCCAGACACAAATGTTGTCTGTATAGTCCTAGGCACACATACAAACCCCACATGCATAGAAATGTAATTAGTAACACTTAAATGAAGAGGGCATAAAGATCAGAGTCATGTGACTGTCTTGAGTACTCAACACAAGTTGACATATTTTTCTCCTCCATGGTAGCCACTAAAAATAACAATTACGCGAGTGAAGCATTACAGCACAGATACATGAGGGACGTTAAACTCTTTATAGACTGTAGTGAAAAGAATAATGATTAATTGTTGCTTCCATTTCTCTTGTGTGCTGTGAGTTGCACAGAGAGTCACGGGTTTAAGGTGGACATAATTAGATTTGATATGTTGCTGTCCTCATGGAGGAGAATTGGATTTGGCAAGAGAAAAACAAGGATTGTTGTGATTTCAAACTATGTAGGCTTTCAGCTTGACATAATTATATGAAATATCTGTGACTTTCATTGAGCAAACAATTGTAAATCATCCTGAGTATTTCTGGTCATATGCTGGTATCAGGGCAATAGAGCTATTCCTTAAACAATCCCAGGATGTTTTACTGCACAACAACAAGGATTATAGCCAACAATGACCCCTGAAAACACATTTATATGAACATAACCTAACTTGAAACTGTTGAATTGAGTGACGCGAGAGTATAAAAGATAATGCACTAGGGGCTCCGGTAGCATAGTGATTAGTCGTGTTCCATGTACGGAGGCTATCGCCCTCTAAGTGGACGGCTCAGGTTTGAATCCGACCTGTGGCTCCTTTCCCGCATGTCATTCCCCATTCTCTCTCACTCCCCAATTTCTGACTCTATCCACTGTCCTATCTTTAAATAAAGGCATAAAAAGACAAAAACAACTTTAAAAGAAAAAGACATGCATTCATTCTTTGAAGGGTCGAAGGTATTATGCTTATTTGCTTCTTTTTTTTTTGTTGGCAGTTAGATCAAATACGATATTTTTTGTAAATACAACATGGTAAGAAGAACCTATCTTCATCTATTAGATGCACCAAAAACTGTCAGGTTAACTGTACATTAATGTGTGACAACAAACAACAACAGTGCAACAACAGTGCAGTGTCATTTTAGTGAGCTACCTGAAGTCAGCGTCAGTTTTATTTGTACAATCATTTGTTTTTTGTTTTTTTTATCCTGCTGGTATTGTAGGGGTACTTGGAATATGCTGATACGCATGTCTGGGGAAACCTGTAGCCAGTTCACTGCAACAACATAGATAGATGATTTTGATTGGCCCAACCTGAATCAGGTTAGATGGAAAACTGTGAATTCAAGAAGCACCAGACACAGTGCCCAAAGATTCAAGATTCAAAGCAAATTCAAAACAAACACGAGCTTGCAAATTTGTCTTTTTCCCAGGGTAATGTAAAAGTGCTATATTTCTCACCTTTAACGTTTACTGTCCAATTTAAATTACATTTAACTGATCATTCATTCGTGCTTCATATGCATTGAGAAAGAATGTAGAAGTTATATATTTTAAAGAAGAAGCTTGTTCACACTCATGTAGTTTTTTAACCTTCTGATGACCTGTACCTCCACATGTCACTGATATGTAAAGAAGCCCTTTAGGTCAGCTGTCACCAGCAATCTGCTAACAGCGACTCACTGTCAAATGGGATCGTAGAATAGTAGAAAACAACATTTGTGAAAACTTTTCAAGAGGAATTCTTCCATTCTGTAAGACATCTGCACGTTTTAGAGGATTGTGCTACTTTAAGCAGAGGTTTGCTCTGGTTAAAGCATACAAAGCACATTATTCTAACTTACCCATTAGATGGATTTGTTGATTCTGGACCATTATTGTTTCCGGGCAGATGTAACCTGAAACAGAAAAAACAAAATTGGGTCTGCTAAGAAAAAAAGAAGGAAATCTCAAGGGATGGAAACAAGCTTAAAGGGCAGCTATTGTTTGAGGAACATGATCATGAGAGCCATAGAAACACAGACACTGATACATGCAGACACTCCCAGGCTGCTGACTTGTTGACAATGTTTTATTTCTTCTGCAGAAATGAACTTGAAAATGCGGGGAAAGTGTCTGTGAAATCAGCCTGATGTTGGGACAGATCTTTGGCAAACTGTAGTGATACATTTTAAAACCCAAACTGAATCTGTAACATAGAAAATGCTTTTAAATGATGCTGACTTAATTTACTTTCATTTCAGTCACTTACCTGAAATCTGTGATGATGGGATCCATCTCTGGACTGTTTATGACTGACAACCTGTGAAAATACATTAAAGTCAGTGTGTGTCAGTGGAGGCTCAGTGTTACTGTAATTAAATGTGTTATTAGCACTGTGAGTAGCACTCAGTTTGTTGATAAATTATTAAATGTGACTTCATTTGTGCACATTGTTAACGTACCGACTCGGGGAGTCCGGACTGTCGGGCATGTCTTGCCCCTGTGCGACATCTCTGTGAAGAGGTCAAAGGTCAGTTTAGACAGAATATTACAGTGGATGTCATGATAGTGAGAAGAGAATGTGTGCGAGGGTGTCGGATTTGAACGTCTGGTGGAACAGACGAGTACGGGGTATTAAAAGCTTGAATCAAAAGTTTTTACCAGCATAAAAAAGCTCTGTGTGACAAATGATAGCAGTCTTCAAATTAATGTCAAAAGTCAAAATTGTGTTAGTTAATTTAGCCTAGCCTAGTGTGTGACCCCTTTCACATTCAGCAGGTTGTACATTTTGTCCCACATCACTGGTTGCCTGTCTGTGAGGAGAGCCTCTCATGTTACACAGTGAATTCCATAATTTTAGTTTCCTGAATATTTCAAACGATGGCATTTTATGAAAGAGTAAATATCTTTTTTTTTTGTATGGAAAATAAAGTTATTTTCACCTTAATGTTTTCAGACGACCCTTTGTGATCATATTACAAACAAGAAGAACTTCTTTAAAAACCTGTAATTTAGTTTGATGTAAAAATAGCTTTAAAAACATGAGCCATGCAGCAGAGATATCACACTTTTTTACTTCGTTTTATTTAATCATTAAGTGTATTTCAGCCCACTGCTGTACATAGAAAGCCTGTTTGTCCACATCATCATGACAACAATGTAATGTCTAACAGGCTGCAGATTGAGAGCAAGACAAATAAGAGCAGGTTGAGATCGTAACAACAAACTTTATATTCAAACAGTAGGCTACTTTTCCAATGGACTCACACTGCTCAGCCTCTTTGTATTTATTACATGGGTGCCTGCTTCAGATGATTCAGATGACTGATAGGTGAACAGTAACAGCGTTGTAACAGTGAGAGAACAGAAATCATCTCTGACTACATCTACAGTAATCAGGTCTGAACGTCACTGATCATATCGCGAGTATTCAAATGAGTGTGGTTTATAAGAGGATCTTTGATGATCTTGACAACACAGTAACTTAATGATAACACTGTGAACACAGACAAGTATCGACAGGGCCTTGACCTACACTGATTTTCATCTCGATTACTCACTTTTTGCTGTCATTTTTCTTCACGCTTCGCCTCCAGTTGATAAAACTCATTCCAGAGACGTGAGGTCCGGTGAAACAGCAGAATATCCCGGACAGAGCAGGTTTACACAGATGGCATGGATGGACAGACTGACAGTCAGACAGACAGACAGACAGACAGACAAACAGGGGAGCAGCTCACACTGAGTTTACACTGACAGAAATGAAGCCAGAACAGCTGCAGTCTTCCTTCTTCCTGACGTGGGTAAGGTGTGTTGCTCTCATCATCATCAGAGTGACTTTCTTATTTAAATACATGCACTCTGCAATGTGGCTGCTGCAGGTGGCTTCATGGTCCTAAAGCCTTCCGGGTTATGACACATTTCTGGTTAACTCTTAAGAAAATATTTTCTATTATTGTTTTCCCTAATCTTAACGTTGGTCAGCTGAAGCTGTTTTAGACGTGCTATACAAATAAACTTAACTTACAATAAACACATCCGTCAATAAATACTAATACCGAGTACATAAAAATCAGGAATTTGATGTATTGCCAAGACATAATGTATAATTAAAGCTTAACAATAGTTGAGTAATTTAAGTATTTATGGTTATACAAATTCTGCCTGAATGTGACTGTGCTTAATGCTTCAATACAACCCAATAAAAGTCTGTGGTATTTAGCAATATACTTTTCTGATAATCAAGTCATTTGAGTGCTTTTACTTTTGCATACAATTCAATTTGGTTGATACAACTTCTGGAATTTAAGAAAGTATTCGGAAATGTAGTGGAAGTAGCGATTAAACTGTGTTAAACACTGTTGGAAAAGTACAAAATAATTCATTCTGTGTGTGCAGATTAATTTGTTGGATTTTTAACACAGATGAATTATCACATGTGGGTATAATTTTAAGGCAGATGGACAAGACGGAGCTCATCTTAGTTACCTCATGTACAGTTGGTTACAACATACAAATATGTTAGAATAAGAGTACAAAGTAGTACACCAGTGATGAAAAGATGTTCTGAGTTACAGAATGTAAAGTTCAATATATATTCAAAAATGTAATGATGAGTGTAAACTATTAATGCCCTCTTCTATATATGTGATTATTTGTGGTGACTATAGAGCGGAATAATGTGGTCAAATGTACATGTTCATATTCCTGATGATGTTTTTTTTCTTAATGTCGATCCCAAGAAGAATAGCTGAGCTATCGGGTACAGCTAATGGAGATCCTAACAAACACACAAATTCCAAAGACAAGAATGCACAACGTTTTCATATGAGTAAGTAATAATAATGTTACTTTTTGTCAGTAGAAAAAAAAAAAACTGTCCACACCGGCTGTTAAAGAGAGTAACATGACTGAGTCCCAAGACAACACACAAACTGCAAAACTACATGTTTAATATTTATTCTGTTTCAGTTATATGCATTTCTTATTCTGGCAAAAACCTCCAAATAAGGTTTTTTTTTTATTTTCTTACATGTTAGAAAATACAAAATAAAATACAGTCAGCTTGAGTTTTCAAAAGCCTATAGAAGGGGTAAGCCTATTGAAACAAAAGTGGTTCTTGATTTTTAAAATATCGAGGAGTCTGTACAAATACAAGTTAGGTGTCTTTGTGGCTTCTTAACGTAAGAGAGTGAAAACATGACGTGTATGAGAGGAGACTCAGCTGGGAAGGAACAAGAACAGACAGATGACCACAAGTAACAGATTTATGAGAAATGCACCAAAAAGAACGTATGGATTATCAACCATCGGTAGAACGCTGGTTAAAGATGTAAAGAGAAAAATATGACCATGTTCACTCTAAGCAAGACTTGTTAAAGGAAATCTGTGCAAGAACAGACGAGTGGTGTCGTAAATGTTGTGCACTTCATTTGGTCAGAACTTAGCAAAGAAAATGAAAAACAGCTGTTCCTCGTTTAGAAACTGCCGACGACAGCTGAGCACAAGAAGAAGAGGAATCATCACTGGTCAACACACTGCCATGTGGGCGTTCACAGGAACGCGCAATGTTATCCTCACCATGCCAGGCAGCTTTTTTGCAAGTTAAATCCCCACACAGACTGAAGACAAAGTGCTCCCCTGGGAACGCAGAGAAGCTGATCAACTTGCACTTGTTGTAAACAGAAGTTGAAGAATCTGAACTAACACAAATTGAAAGTTGATACAAATGCTCACAAAAAAAAAAAAAGAAAAGCACCAACAGTGGCTCACTTTGAAATGGGATCTTATTTTAAATTGTGAAATGAATGTTTCCTACTTGAAGAAGTTGGCTTTCTAATAAGTCTCATTACAAAAGAAAAAAAGGAAACACAAGCAGTATCCAAGTGTTAATCAGACAGACGCCATATTGGGAGACTGACAAATAAGATCGTTTGACCTTCAAGTAGTAGGGGGTGAGGTATCTATCAATCAATATTAACAATACTACAAACAAAGTTCATTTCATCAGCCATGCTAGACAAACCCCTTGTGGTACAAATCTCCCCCCCCCTATTCTGAGACATTCATCTCTGACAACATTTTCTATTTTTGATCTCATGTTTCTCTGCTCATGTTCAACTCGCCACATTTCTGCAAAAATAATACATTCTTTAATCTCAGACAACCTTCAAATAATGTCTCAGTAATCAGAAGTTCTTCAAGGTAAAAGGTATTTTGGTAATAAGAACATTATTTTCTCACATAACAAATTTTGTTATGTCAGATTGTGATTTTGTTAAAGCTGTTATGATATTGTGCAATCCCTTGTAGTGTACCCTGACTTTTAATGCTAACTAATGGTATACGTGTAGTTTTGTTCCATTTAGTCTCTAAAAAAACCCTGTAAAATAAAGACATGCGTTGATTAGAAACAATGACATAATAAAGAAAGAAACTGGGATGACAAAGTATATGGGCACCAAATTTGCAGTCGGAGTTACAGTTCCTCCAAAAAAGCACTTCTCCCTCTAGGATATTTTGGGGCTCTACAAAACAACCAAGCCTATTTTTAATTAAAGTGATCTTATGAATATTTCAATGTTACCTCAGAGGACAGAGCAGAGCTTTTATAGAATGGGCGAGTTCTGTTAGTGGATACAGACAGGACTTCTTTTGATTTCTATCTAGACTCAAGTGCAAGTTTCAATAAATTACATTCTATAAAGGTTAATGCATGATTTGTAACCTGGGGTTGAAATCGACAATTTTTACATTTGTTAATCTCTCATCTGTATTCACTGCGTTACATTTGTACTATTTTTTTTTTTTCTAGTCTTGGTCCTCTTCTGCCAACAAGGAGACCAACAGGATGTAATTACAGGACACCGCCACGAACGAAGAACACAGTCTGGAGAAATGGGTGTTGAAAGATTCAGGCATGGGTTTGTTGAAAGGAGGTCTCTTTTATGGGGTCAGCAAGTGCTGCTGAATCAGTCCTATACAGTCCCCAATTTGCTTTGGTGCTTTCTGGGATGGTCCAGGCTGGGCCGTGCTGTGCCGTGCCGGGCCGGGACAGAGAAGGGGCGGGGTAATACGTTTTTCAGGAGAGTTCCGACTTGCTGAGTGCGATGGCCAGCTCCAGGTCCTCTTGTTCCTGCTGGGTGAGCCTGGCAAGACGCTCCTTTTCCTCTCGCTCGCTCTCGCGCTTTGCCCACTCTATCATGTCTTCTTCTGTAGGATACTGTTTCTTGAACACACACACAGACACACACACACACATACATAAATACAGGGGGGAGGAAGGAACCCACATATGCCGAGAAATGTGGGGAAAAGACACAAACAGAGACAAACACATATACAGTTAACAGATTTTTCAAAGACATTTAATTGTCTGCAGATAACAGATGCCCAAATATTAGAAATACAAGGACATTGTAATGCAAGCCATTATTCCTGAGTATTACAATCTCTGTAATGATACGGACAATCTGAGGGCTCATGTTACATTTTAAAGTATAGACGATGTATATGTTGCCATTATATTGTGTAACTTAAAAGTCGATGTAATGGGGTGAATAAATGTTCTTCATTCAGCTGTGAGCACAAATACTTCAGGCCACCCCTGCAGAAGTCAGTGCCCCAGTTGGGCCATCCCAGTTCAGAAAGTGTGGACACACCCCTGCTTTTAAAATAAACACACTTTTAATCAGAATCTATTAAACGTGGCTGGTAAAAAATGTGACCATAATGAAAGGGACATTTCAAAGATGAGAACTAAAACAGAGCTCTGTTTTGGACAAACTATGTTAAAGCTGCACGTTAACCACCCCAGACTTATTTTTGCAGTACTGTTGCCATCATATATCTGTGTGGTTTTACAATAGGAGACTTTAAAAAAAAACAGCCACCGTAGTGTTAGTTACATCTATGTTTGAGATGTACAAAAGTGAATTTGGAGGAAGGTTTATGTGGTCTTTAAATTCAAAATGTCATGGTTCAAAAGTCAAACAAAATAAGCTATTTAAATCTATTTCCCTGCATCAAAGATGGCCAGTAAGGGAGTCAGTGCACTTTTTGAAACTTTGAAATGGGCAAATGAGATATGGGGAACTTCATTTGGAAAGAATAGGAGCTGTGTGGGGAAAAGAATAACAGATTTTGAGGTTCACAACATCAAAAGGTGATTGATGAGAACTTTAGAACACAGAAATCGGGTGAAGCTAATGACTATAGACTGGACATGTACAGTGTGGACAGTTAGAGTTACACAGCAGAGCTACAAAGTGTTTTGAGCCATGCAAAGGAAAGCATGCACTGATGACAACATTCACTAGCAGTTATTTTGGAGCTGATGACTTTGCAAAAACATGCACGATGAGGACATTCCGGAAACATCGAATAGATCCATTAGAAAACATGCCTGAAGGAGGAACATCAAACTGCTGCTTTCAACGTATGAATGATATAAGACATTCAAACAGTACATAGAATGAGAAATGATGCGTTTAATATCTGAACCTATTATAAAATTTTGCCTCAAGTGATTTAAAGGGATTCTGAGACCCCATCTGGTAAACTGGGAGGACCATACTGTTGGTTTAGCATGTTTTAGCACATTTACAGCAAACTCTAAAAAAGTTACAAATGTGCCAATGATTTTCCAAAGCACACCAAACTTCAGACAAAAGGAATATTTCTGCAAAAGACAAACACGTATGTAAACAAACTTACAAAAAAAAAAAAAAAAGTGAAATTAAATAACAACCTTGCTATTATTGCAAAATGTTGAAATAGCAGAGCGTACAAAATAAGGCAGCTATAAT